CAAAGAACTGACTTGATCGTCGGAGGGGATACGCCGAAAAACACTTCGGCGCCCTTCTAACATGTTTTCTTTTGTTCCAAGAACCTCCTTCAGTTTTTCAGGATCACTCAGGCGATTCATACCAACGATTGATTATCCACCTTCGACCCTTACAACCTGTTCAACTAGCAAGATCAACCACCCAATTTCGGACACGTGTTCATCACGGAAGAGATCTATTCTAGTGTTTATATTGTACAGGATCTTGCACTCACACTTGGAATTGCCAATTCCTGCCATTCAACACCTCTGCTGGAAACAGAATATGCATTTGCTCTTTATTTACTCTTATTAAAGCTTTTTGAAGACAATTTTTTTCTGAGAGTGCAATTAGTTTCAATCAAGAAATGGTATTCACCCATACTAGGTTGTGGATTACATCCGGCATAACCATTTGTATGTGTCACACCCGTCTAAGTTTTACGTACTTTATTTTTCATTTTGTGTTACCTCTCAAGTTTTTTATTGATAAATTTCATTCATCTTGCCCCGAAACTAGTGGTCACATCGACATACCCATACCATACCTCAATGCATTATTAGTTGATATGAGACATTATATGTTGAAACTCGAGGTCACATCAACAACCTCATACCAACTTAACTATTATGTCGATCTTTAAGTTATACCATGAAAGATTTAAAATTTTTATGAAGCAAAGCTAACCTCTATTCTCTCTCCTATGCTAGTACCCTGAACTCAGTAGCCACTTTAGTATTGTGAGGAAAACCTCATGACTTACAAGATGGTTGGGGGAAATCAGTGAGTTACAAGATGGTTTGGCATATGAGAAATTATGAGTTTATCCCTCACATATTTGTTTAAATTTTTGTTAAGTTGATAAACTAGCAATACAATTACTTCGAGCATCGTACATGTTTCCTCAACAAATTTTAATACGATGCAACAACATATAGCAAAAGCCTAATATTTTCACCCCCTAATTTTAATCAGTGATTTTTTAATTTTATTTTAATAGATAATATAATTGTATATTAATTATATTTTTTAGGAAAAAAATTAAATTTTTATTTTTAATTTTATTATAATAAATAATATAATAGAACATAAATTTTAATCGTAAATGATATCCTAGCAATGCTATACATTGCCTAAACAACGTGAGAATCGGCATCTTTAACACATGTGTAAGTATGAGTAGACGAATAAATCCAAAGCATTTATGTAAAGCCAGAAGGCCAAGGCCAATAAATGCTCAATAAATAGCATAATTTCAACAATAATGCACCTCCATCGCATCGAAAAATTAAATTAAACTATTAGTAGTTGTTTAATATTTTTTTAGTTTAACGGCCAAGGATGTTCGAGTCAGTTTACGTACACCTTGATTAATTTTATTCTTGATTCAGTGAAAAATTAACTATTTACGCTGAGACTAGTATATTGAAGAGAGATAAATCTCTCATAATCTGACATTAATGAGGTATTAATTTGATTTCCAATTCCAATTTCAGACAGATCTTTCTAATTAACAAGCAATACATAATTTTAATATATTTTTGTTTATTTGAATGAAATTAAACGAGGTAGGTGTTCTTGCTTAGTTCAATTTAAGTTTAAAATAAAAGATAAAGCGACTGAGGCAACTTTTTCATTTTTCTTTCATTTTCAAGTTCTGAATCTAAAAATTGGAAAAAGGAATAGGAAAGAGTTTAATTAAGTGTAAATTACATTTTATACCTTGAACTATTATTTTTATTTCACTTTATACCCATAACTATAAAAAATTTTATATTACATCCTAAAATATCAATTTTATTTCATATCAATTTAATAGATAATGCATGTCAATTTTGATTGTAAATGCGCATGTAAGTGATCTGCAGTATACTATCAATAAACAATTGTATATTGCATTCAAAAATTAAAAAAAATACCCATAAATGATTTTGCCCTTCTTAAACTCTAAATTTTCTTCTTCTAACTTACCTTTTTTTTCTTCGTAACAATCATTTGGTTACAAATGAGGTAAAATAAAGTGGTTTTAGACACTTGATAGGAAGCTTTTTGGAGTTTTTCTCCCTCTTTTAATAGATTTTTAAATTTATCATTATCTCTTTGAGTAATATGAAAAAAAATTGATATTTTAGGGTACAATATAAAAAAATTTATAATTGAAAGTGCAAAGTAAAATAAAGATAATTGTTCAAGGGGTAAAGTGTAATATTTTCTTTAATTAACAAGCAATATATAATCTTAATATATTTAGTTCATTTGAATGAAATTAAACCAAAAACATAAGTTAGTTTGGTAACTGTTTAATTTTTAGGGTTAATCTCATTTTACATCTCGAAAGATAGTTCGAATCTCAATTTACACTCTCAAAAAGCAAAAATCTCAATTTGTACCCTCAAAGATAGAAATTTGTATCAATGTGTACCCCCAAAGATCAAAAATCTCAATTTACACCCTCAAAGATAGAAATTTATATCAATGTGCACCCCAAAGATAAAAAATCTCAATTTGCAGCCTCAAAGATAGAAATTTATATCAATGTGCACCCTAAAGATAAAAAATCTCAATTTGCACTCTCAAATATAGAAATTTGTATCATTATGCACCTAAAACTAAATTGATAAATTATACCTAGATCCTCTCATGCTTGTCACTTAATCATTTGGACCTCTTTACATTTAGAATATTACTCCTACATCTCATGACATTTATGCACGTACAACATGTAACCCACTTTCATTGATATCTGTTAATATAACCGTTAAAAAATATAATTTTATCTTAATAAAAAATTATAATTTCATATTACCCTTATTTTATGGGTCTAATATACTCTAAAGTTCAAAATCAAGCTTACCATTTGAATGTCTAATAAAATGTAGATATTTATATAATGTTTTTCATATTTTCCTTTTTATAAATATCTACATTCTATTAGACATTCAAATAGTAAGCTTGATTTTGAACTTTAGAGTATATCGAATCTACAAAATAAAGGGTAATATGAAATTATAATTTTTTATTAGGATAATCATATTTTTTAACGATTATATTAATAGATATCAACGAAAAGTGGTTATGTTTACACATGTACAAACGTCATGAGATATATGGGTAATATTCTAAATGTGAAGGGGTTCAAATGATTAAGTGACAAACATGAGGGGATCTAGGTATAATTTATCAATTTAGTTTTAGGTGCACATTAATATAAATTTCTATCTTTGAGGGTGTAAATTGAGATTTTTGATATTTGGAGGTGTACATTGATACAAATTTCTATCTTTGAGGGTGTAAATTGAGATTTTTGATCTTTGGGGGTGTACATTGATATAATTTTCTATCTTTGATGGTGCAAATTGAGATTTTTAATCTTTGGGGGTGTAAATTGAGATTCGAACAATCTTTCGGAGTGCAAATTGAGATTCTCATGTTTTTGTTTTCTCACTATCTTTGTTTTGGGTGGTGGGTTTCGGTGGTCTTTGGTGTTTTACAGAGGGTTTTGGTGGTGGGTTTTAGAGGTTTCGATGGTGCTAGGTTTTGAGGATTAGATGGTTGGTGATGGAATTGTTAGGGTCAGGCGGTGAGTTTTGTAGGTTGGGTGGTCATGGTGGATTTTCGGTCCAATTATATTTTTTATTTTTATAATTTTTAAATATAAATAACTATCAAATATGTGTTTATATGTTTTAGTTTTTATTATAGAAAAAATAAAAAATATTTATATTTTTTATTTTTTTCACAAAACATTATCAAACGCACCCATACTCTTGCTTAGTTTAATATAAGTTTAAAAAAAAATAAAAAGTATTTGAGGCAATTTTTTTCATTTTTAATTTATTTTCAAGTTCAAAATCTAACAATAAAAAAAAATGAACAATGTTACATGAATTTAAAAAATAAACTTAAAAATTAGATTTGATAATTAAAATTATTGATTTAACTGTGGATTCCAACATTTATTAAGAACTACTACCTATTCAATGGTTGAAATTATCAAATCTAATTTTTAAGTTTTTACTCAAAAAAATAAATAGGAAAAAAAAGCCTTATCGGGGGACCTAGTCAAATTTAGGAAAGTCCTGAGGCAATTTTGATATCTAGAAATTCCGGGAATCACGGGTTTTGCACGTGCGAGCTCCGACCATAGTCCTCACACGCGTGACCCGGGGTTCCCTGGTCAAGCAGCAGCGACAATACTAAACAAAAGAAAAAGAGAGAGACACACCCACACACATCCACATATCACACATCAGTCGGTGTGGTGTATTCTTTCAGATCCCCACACACACACACCACCTTCCTTTTTCTCTCTCCATATACGCTCTGCCTCTGTTTTGTCACTCTACCCTACAACTATTCTCTTTCCTTCCCCATTCTCTCGTCCCTTTTATAACAAAAAAAGCACCAATCTTCCATTGTTTCAATCTCTTCATACCTTATCAACAATGGCTTCCATGAACCCACAAGGTATATACACCTCTCTCTCTCTAGTTTAACGTATTGGTATCTAATGGTACATTCTTAGACCAAACAAAAAAAAAAAATGATGGTACATTCAATTAAGTTATAATTTTTATTGGGTTTTAATGAGATTCAAAGTTCTTGGATTTTTCATCTACAGATTTTGTTTCTCATCGCCGCTTGCTTCAACTTTTGATTTTTGCACGTTTATATAAAAAAAATTATGTGTTTTTTTTTTTTTTATTTTGATTTTTTTTCGTTCTATAGCTTGTTGTGGAGATTGGTACAATGTCTTGTGTTTTGTGTGCTGATGTAATCTTTTTACGTGTTTACGTTTCAGCTTTTTTGTGAATGGGTTTTGAAGTTTTATCTTTAAATACAGGTTTAAGCCATTCAGATCTGAAGCTTTGAACGAGGCTTTAGGCCTTTCGGTTAATGTGATGATTGTTAATGAGGCTATTTACTTTACCTCTTAGTGTGCCAAAGATCTAGCGTTTTAAGTTCAGCCTTTGTTGTTCATCTCTCTCTCTCTCTCTCTTGTTTGGCTTTTGAGTAGCCTAATATTTAGGGTGCTGAGATTGCTCTTGGCTGGTAAAAAAGCTGAATAAATTTTTTATTCCGATAAGTAAGGGGTTTGGGAACTTTTGATTTTTGAATGTCTGTTTCTTGACCGTTGTCAAGTTCTACATATTGGGATTGTGTTGTTTGAGAGAAAAAGGATAGCCCAGAAAATGCAGAGGCCTCCAATGGAAGATTTTTCACTAAAGGAGACTAAACCCCACCTTGGTGGTGGGAAGATCACCGGAGATAAGCTCACAAGCACCTATGACCTCGTTGAGCAAATGCAATACCTTTATGTTCGGGTGGTTAAAGCCAAGGATTTACCGGTGAAGGATGTTACGGGTAGTTGTGACCCTTATGTTGAAATTAGGCTCGGAAACTATAAGGGTACAACCCGACATTTCGAGAAAAAATCAAATCCTGAATGGAATCAGGTATTTGCTTTCTCGAAAGATCGGATTCAGGCATCAGTCCTTGAGGTCACCGTGAAAGATAAGGATTTTGTGAAGGATGATTTCATGGGTCGTGTTTTGTTTGACCTTAATGAAATCCCAAAACGGGTACCACCAGATAGTCCTCTGGCACCTCAGTGGTACAGGTTGGAAGATAGAAAGTCGGATAAGGTTAAGGGAGAACTAATGTTGGCTGTTTGGATGGGTACACAAGCCGATGAAGCATTTCCAGAAGCATGGCATTCGGATGCTGCAACTGTTAGTGGCGCCGATGGTCTTGCAAACATTCGATCCAAGGTCTATTTATCTCCTAAACTTTGGTATTTAAGAGTAAATGTGATTGAAGCTCAAGATTTGCAGCCCATTGACAGGACAAGGTTCCCGGAAGTTTTTGTGAAGGCAATTCTGGGGAATCAGGCTTTGAGGACTAGAGTTTCAATGAGCAAAACTATCAATCCGATGTGGAATGAGGACTTGATGTTTGTAGCGGCAGAACCTTTTGAGGAGCCTCTGATTTTGAGCGTGGAGGATAGAGTTGCACCCAACAAGGATGAAGTTTTGGGAAGGTGCGCGATTCCTTTACAGTATGTGGACAGGAGGTTGGATCATAAACCTGTGAATACTAGGTGGTTTAATCTTGAGAAACATGTGGTTGTCGAGGGGGAAAAGAAAAAGGAAATCAAGTTTGCTAGCAGGATTCATATGAGAATCTGTTTGGAAGGGGGTTATCATGTTCTGGACGAATCGACCCACTACAGTAGTGACCTTAGACCGACAGGAAAACAGCTGTGGAAGTCCAGCATTGGGGTTCTTGAATTGGGTATTTTGAATGCCCAGGGGCTATCACCTATGAAGACAAAAGATGGACGGGCTACAACAGATGCTTATTGTGTGGCCAAATATGGGCAGAAGTGGGTGCGGACAAGGACGATTATAGATGGCTTTTCCCCCAAATGGAATGAGCAGTACACATGGGAGGTTTTTGATCCATGTACTGTTATAACTATTGGGGTATTTGATAACTGTCACTTGCAAGGAGATAAATCCGGAGGTGCAAGGGACTCGAGGATTGGAAAGGTCAGGATTCGCCTTTCAACCCTTGAAACTGATCGCGTTTACACACATTCGTATCCCCTTTTGGTTTTACATCCGAGTGGGGTTAAGAAGATGGGTGAAATTCACTTGGCTGTGAGGTTTACTTGTTCATCCTTGTTGAATATGATGCATACGTACTCACAACCACTGTTACCCAAAATGCACTACATTCATCCATTAACTGTTAGTCAGCTTGATAGCTTGAGGCACCAGGCCACTCAGATTGTCTCCATTAGGCTCAGTCGTGCTGAGCCACCATTGCGAAAAGAGGTTGTGGAGTATATGCTGGATGTGGGGTCTCACATGTGGAGTATGAGGAGAAGCAAAGCTAATTTTTTCAGAATAATGGGGGTTTTTGGTGGGTTAGTTGCTGTTGGGAAATGGTTTGATCAGATATGCCATTGGAAGAACCCCATTACCACAGTTCTGATTCACATTTTGTTCCTTATACTGGTTTTATATCCAGAGCTTATTCTACCCACCATTTTCCTCTACCTCTTCTTGATTGGAGTTTGGTACTACAGGTGGAGGCCAAGGCATCCTCCCCACATGGACACTCGTCTCTCTTGTGCTGATAATGCACATCCTGATGAATTAGATGAAGAATTCGATACGTTCCCTACCTCTCGCCCTGCTGATATTGTTAGGATGAGATATGATCGTCTGAGAAGTATTGCAGGGAGGATTCAGACTGTGGTTGGTGACTTGGCGACTCAAGGGGAGAGGCTGCAGTCTTTGCTGAGCTGGAGAGACCCGAGGGCTACAGCTCTGTTTGTAGTTTTCTGTCTGATTGCTGCCATTGTTCTCTATGTGACACCTTTCCAAGTTGTGGCCCTTCTGGCAGGATTTTATGTGTTGAGACATCCAAGGTTTCGTCACAAGCTTCCTTCAGTGCCACTCAATTTCTTCAGGAGATTGCCAGCGAGAACCGACTGCATGTTATGAGCAAAGCCACATTAGATGGCATTCCCTTTAGTCTTCTTGTATCGCTATCTCTCCGAGTCTTTTTGGTCATTAAAGAAGATGTAGGTACAAATGGAGCTTGTTTGCAGTCTTTCACCTAGCAGTGAGTGTTGGGTCCTGGTATGATGTGCAAGAGATCTCATCAAACTGGTAAATTTTGTGGATTTGCTGCTTATCTATGCCTTTTCTAGTTATGTCTGTTTCAGAGTTGACTCTGACAACTTATCTATGTTCATTTGTCATGTAGGTTGTGATTTGAATTTAATCTGTTCTAGACAATCTCTATCCTTCAATGTTATTAATAGGTTTCTTTCATGGGTTTGGACTAATAATCTATCCTATGCATTTCTGGGTCTTCTATATCTCATTGATGTTTGGTCTCTCTGGTTTGAATTATTAGTTGAACTTCAAAATGAATAGGAATCATGAGATTAACGTCTTTAATGGTAAACACTAGCACTGGGAGTCTTTGGGGTGGTTCAGTAGTTGAGATTGGTGTTTGGTAATTCAGAAGTTTCAGGTTCAATCCATTCCCACATCTCCTAAGGGCTAACCCCCCTTATTCATCATGAACATGTTCTATCCTAGTTCATGCCATGGTGGTTGCCGTTGAACTCGATAAAATACTCGGCGCATGCTAAGGATCATATGTGACTGCTTGGTTAGACTAACATATATTATACATTGCTATGATGATATCTTGCTAGTTTAGATTTACTCACTGTTGAATCATTTTCCTTGCATTGTGTATTAGATTGGCCGTTTGGAATTTTACAAAAACTATGTGTTCAATTATAGAAGAATACTTGGATAATACTTCTTACCTGAAGTTGATTATGTTACTCGGTGAAGTATCAGTTAATGGTTTTGACAGACAGAGACAAGCCCACCCACAGTGTGTTCAATGTTTTGAAGTGGGCTGGTTGTGGTAACATTCTCAGATTTCTTTTACTTTTTTTACGTTGTGGGATGGTAAAGCCGTAAAGGTTTTAAAGTAGTGGGTCACGGATTTATTTATAGAATTCTGTGGCCGGTTCTGGGAAGTAGGACCTGCTGGTCTATCTAACTCTCATTCTTTCCAGTTGTAAACCAAACCTTCAAGGCCCTTTCCTGCTGTCAAGTCTCTCTCTCTCTCTCTCTCTCTCTCTCTCTCTCTATATATATATATATATATATATCACCTGCTGTCAAGTCTCTCCCTCCCCTCTCTCTCTCTCTCTCTATATATATATATATATATCACCTGCTGTCAAGTCTCTCCCTTCCCCTCTCTCTCTCTCTCTCTATATATATATATATATATATATATCACCTGCTGTCAAGTCTCTCCCTCCCCCCCTCTCTCTCTCTGTATATATATCACACACAGAGGGTTTGTGCTTTTAAACCCGGGATTAGGGTAGGGGTGGTTCAAGACAATTTGGGCCTAAAGCGATATTTTTAAATGAGGTCTTTTATGTTTAGTGTTAATATTTTTTATTTAAAATTAATTTTTCTTATTTTTTAAGTTGCAAAAGTATTAATTAAGGTTTTATATTCAAGTTTTGTTACCATATCTTTTTCAATTGATAGTATCGCTAATCCAATTAATCTTTCTTGTGATATAATCAATCTTAAGTAAGATTTTATCAATTTTAATTTCAAAAAGTTTCTTTCTGCATAAACAACTGTTATAAGAATTGTTAATAATATTCTATAAGCAATGCATGCATTTGAAAAAAAATTTAATTTTTTTATATAATTTAGTATCTTAATTGGAGTACTTTCTTTCGTTTGTAAAGTTTTTTTTAAAACATTTAGTTCTAAAAATAAATCTATGCTATCAATATCGGAAAAATTTTCGTGTTTTAAGAAGCATTCGAGATCCAAAAAATATTGTTTTAAATTTTCATTGGTCAATAATTTTAATTTTTCTAAGTTAAATAAAAAATCAAAAATATTTTTGTACTTTTGTAATTGTTCAAATCTATATTTTAATGAAGAAATAGTTTGATCAATTATGTATGTAAAATAATCAATACTAAAAGATTCTTCAATAGATTGTGTTAACTCATCATCAACATTTTTATCTAATTATTTTTTTTTTATGAACTTTACGTTTTTCATGAAATATAGGTTTCATAACCATTTCACATGCAATTTCTTTAGCTGAAATCATAGTATTTGTAAATTCACTTTCTTTATATTTTTCAAAAAAAAAAATGAGACCATTTAATTGATTTATAACAATATCAATATGCATGTTTTTTGATTGTAAATATTTACTAAGTAAGTTGACGGAAAATAAAATATCATACCAAATAGTCATGCCCAATAAAAATTCAAAATTTTCAATATCATATGTTGCTAAACAATTAGCTTCACTCCTTGTTTTAGGATCTTCACTAGTTTTCGCTAATTGCAATAATGCATCTCTTATTTTTGGATATTGAAATTTTATTGCTTTAACACTTTCAAAACGACTTTCCTAACGTGTTTGTGATAATGACTTAAGAGTTAAACCTTAAATATTATCTTGTAAAATTTTCTATCGTTACGTAGAAGAGGAAAATAATGAATATATACGTTGTACTATTCCAAAAAATGATATAGCCTTGGGACAAGAGTTAGCCATATCACAAAGTACTAGATTTAAATTATGACAACCACATGGTGTGTAAAATGCTCTAGAGCTTATATTGAATAGCCTTTTTTGTACATCTTGATAATTTCCTTTCATATTAGATCTATTATCATATCCTTGTTCTCGTACATCATTAATATTTAGTTTATGATTACTTATTACATCTATAAATTTATCAAATAATTTTTTTTCACCCGTATTATCTATTTTAATAAACTCTAAAAAATATTCTTCTATTTTTATTAGACTTATTGTAATATCTACGTATCGTAATATGAGGGACATTTGTTCTTGATGACTTGCATCGGGAGTACAATCAAGTATGATTGAATAATATTTTACTTGTTTAACTTTTTTGTTAATATTGCTTCTTGTTTCATTTCCTAACAAACTTATCCATTCATTTTGTATATTATGTCCAAAATAATGGTTATGAATTCTATCTTATTGAATACGACAAACGTGTTCTTGCATTATCAGATCAAATTTCACAATCATTTCAATTAAACTTAAAAAATTGTCATTATTTTCTTGATATATTTTTTTGTTTTTTCCCCTGAAAAGCTAAATCATTTTTACCAAGATTCTTTACAACGGCAATAATTCTTACTAATACATTTTTGTCAATATTCTCTCTCTATTAATTTGTTTTTAGATATTTTTATCAATTGTTTTATTTAGTTGCAATCTTGTTTCTAATTCAATCCAAGTATTCATATTAGTTATATGTTCATTAGTTATTTCATGATTTTTAAGCTAAACACCAAAATTTCTCCAATCTTTTGTTCTTTCATTAGCTAGTTTACTTGTAGAATAATTCATATTGAATAACTTGTAACAAAAAAAAAATACTTTATTCAAATCTTTGAATATACTAGCCATCTTCTATCAAGTGTTTTCCCATTTGTTAATTTGTGAATATAATGTGTAGTGAAAAAATGTCTAGAGTGTTCATCTCGAGAAAAATCTAAATTATTATATCTAATTGGACCATTTTCTACTAATAAATCTCTTAATTTTGTATCAATATTTTTCTATTGACTTGGATCATAAACATTTATATGACTATAATCACTTGTTTCATTAAGATTTTGATTGTCTTCTATTTCATTATCTTTTATTTTACTATTTTCTTTTTCAATATTTTCTATTTCATTATCCTCTATTTTATTATCTTTTATTTCAATATTTTCTACTTCAATATTTTTTATTTCATTATCTTCTATTTCATTATCTTTTATTTCAATATTTTCTACTTTAATATTTTTTATTTTATTCTCTTCTATTTCATTATCTACTTGTTCATTTTCAAAATTTTTACCTAAATTTTTTGTTACATTATTTTTGTTACTAATAACAAATTTATCAAACGATCCTTTTTGAGATTTTATTAGTTGATCTATTTTTTTTTTAATTTTTCGTATCCACTTGGTTGTCTTCTAGGTATCATATTATTAGTATATTATAATTATATAACAACCAAACAAATACAAAAAAACACAATATATAGTATAGTAACGTTCACTAAGTTGTGAGTTGAGAGCACTATGAGAGAGAGAGAGAAAGGGAAGAAAAAGAGTTTTTTTTTTATGTTTTAGTTTAATGAGAGAGAAAGAAAAATAATTGTTTTTGTGTTGTTAGTTTAGTTGGTTTACTCGAGAGAGAGATATATATATATATGATTTGACTTTTTAATTTTTTTGGTGACTTTGATATGACCTTTCAATTTTTATTTTTATTTTTTATATTGTTAATTTTTTTTACAATATAAAATGTTTGGATTGAAATATGGGCCTAAAATAGTTGATTGAACCTATATTTTTATAAGGCTTTTTTTTACATAGGTTATTTACGGTATTTAAAAAATTAGGGCCTTCCTTTGAAATGGGGTCTAAAACCCAGACTTTTTTAAATCTTCTGTTGGGCCGGCCCTGGATTAGGGGTGACAATGGTCAGGCTAGGTTAGACCCGCAAATTTTTTTGGGCCGGACTTAGGTAGGATAGACCCGATCCTTTATCCGAGCGAGTTATCTGGCGAGCCGGGTTTTGAATAGGGATAGACTACGTGTAGCTCAATCTGTCACTCGTCAAATTGGCCTTTGCGGGTGGGCTAGTTGGTAGGGTTTGAAATCAACCAACTAAAGACATAATGTTATAAATATATTTCTTTCTCTAATCTATCCAATTACAAATGATTGTGATTAATCCGTAGGTTCTACGTGTATTTGTTACTTATCAAACTAATGATTGAATAGGATTTATGTATGAATCCCGGATTGAAATTTTTGTGTTGAGATTTTTCTATTCAAATCGATGCAAGTATTGATAATTTCTGTTCAAAGTATGGAGTACTTTGGATTTGAATTGATCATGTAAGTTGTACCACGGGCATGTCTAGACTTAGGGGTGTGCAAGATCTAAAAATCTGACTCTATACCCGACTCTGGTTCGACTCCGTTTCTACCGAAGTCAAAGTTTAATGGAATCGGAGTCGAAAGACAAACTCAGACTCCATTCGGATAGTGTTGAGCTAGTTGAATTGGGCTTTTTGATGTATGCTGTTGCATCGTATTAAAATTTGTTGAGGAAACATGTACAATGCTCGAAGTAATTGTATTGCCAGTTTATCAACTTAACAAAAAATTAAACAAATATGTGAGGGATAAACTCATAATTTCTCATATGCCAAACCATCTTGTAACTCACTGATTTTCCCAAACCATCTTGTAA